AAAATAAAAAACTCTTATTTTTTTTAAAGAAATATATAATTTTGCTTATAAACTATCGAATATAATATAATATCCAGTTATATATATATTTTTATTGAATGGATAAACCAAATCGAATATTAAAATGATAATTTCTAGGTTATATGAATATATATATTAATAGTTATATGTATATAAGTAATTTGTGAATATAAAAATGGATTTATATGGTTTATACAGGTTTAATGGGTCGACCCAACTCATCCAGTATTATTAACGGATCGATCCAACCCAACCCGTTTATCTTTCAAATCCAAATGGATTAGACCCAAATGGGTTGGGCCAACTCAATTGACATCCCTATGTGGACGGTGTTGGTTTCACATGCGACAACAGAAACAGTACATGACTTGTGGATTTCGCTCTATTTTTGTGATGCTTTCCGTCCATAGTACACATTATACAGGCATTTATGTATTTATTTGCTTCCTGAGTCACGGGTCACGAGTCAAAACCTTTGGACTCGCCTTCCACTCGGGAACATCCTCCGGAACAATGGTTATGTACAATTTTTCCTATTCACAATCGTTATATCAATCAATTAAAATTTAACTTAATTGGCTTACGTCATTGAAATGAAAAATACTTATAGAGAAAAATAAACCAATGGTAAAGAATATTTTTGTTATTTAAAATATTACAAGGCCACATATATATTACTTCTAAGAACATTCCAATACATAATAATAACTTAATCTAATATAGAATAAATAGTTTGTAAATTTCTAGAAACACAATTACCAAAGCTTGAACACACATTTATAATTAACCAAAAACTAGAAACAAATTAATGCTTCAATAATATCTTCTAACATGTCCCAACAAGATCGGACACGGATGAGACACCGATCTTGGTACGGAACAGTTCAAACCGAGTCTTCGGAAGATCTCATGTGCCAACGGAATCAAGTGAAATTACGTATATGCAATTTCTCAGCTTGGATGAGACCACGAATAAAGTGGTAGTCAATGGCGATGTGTTTCATCCGGAAAAGAAAGATCAGATTGGTCGAAAGGTAAGTAACACCTACATTGTCGAAGTAGATAACAAGGCAAATTGGTGAAAGATATTCAAGTCCAGATAGCAATGAGAAAATGCATTGTACTTTAGAGGCAGTAATAGAGACAGATTTGTAATTAGCTTCCATAGAGGATTTGGCCGCAAAACGTTGCTTTTTGGATCTTGTTGTTATCGGGTGAAAGTTAGTGAAAAATGAAAAAGAAGAAGTAGAGGGTTAGTTAACAACTAGCAGATGAGAAGGTTGGGGACGGTATATCAGGAGAATGTGAAGTTGAAGGGGAGTCTGACGGTTGAGAGGATAAAGACTGAGTAGGATTGGTCGAGGAAGCAATAGGGGTACGTGCTTGTGATGGTAGAGTAGGAGGGGCCAACATATATAGAATGAGACAAGAGGAGAAAGAACAAAGGAGGATGGAGGAAGAGATGTAACATGATTAGAAATAAAAATACGCGAGGAAGAAAGATGAAGACAGAAAAATGCACTCTGTAAAAGAAAGTAGCCGACAAATACGCAAGGAGAGTACCGAGACTGAAATTTGTGAGATGAGTAAGGATTAAGCCAAGGAAAGTAGAGACAACGGAAAACACGGAGTTTGGAGTAGTTTAAGGAAATGTTAAATATGGTTTTAAAAGGAGAATGAAAGAACAAGAGGACAAAAGTTGGCAGCCGATTGATAAGGCACACAACGGTAAAACAAACAACAACCAGAGTCCAGTATTTAGAGGGGATAGACGAGTGAGTCAGGAACGTGAGTCTGGTTTCCACGATATGACAATTTGTTCGTTCGGAAATGACATTGTATTTCGGTATATGATGAGATGTTGAAAGATGAGTTTTCAAGGCCATGATCGAAGGGAAGAATAAGAACAAGGAAGGTGGTGTTAGGGTTTTGAAGAAAAACGTTGATTAGACGATATAGACCTCCTCTAATACCATATTAACTTTTGATAAAAACATCAAAAGTCATCGAAATGAAAAATACTTACATAGAAAAATAAGTCAATCACTACAAGAAAATTCTCGTATAGCTACGGAACTTGCGATGGAAAATTCCGTCGCATACAAAATTACGACGGAATACGACGGTTTAGCGACGGAATGCGGAAAAAAATTTTACGTCTCAAAGAGTCGTAAAATCCGTCGAAAATTTGCGACGGAATGCAACGGAGATGTTGCCGTCGCAATAACAAACATTATTTGCGACGGAAATTTCCGTAGCAAATGCTAATTTTAATTATTTTTAATTTA